CAGCATTATTTGTCCTTCAGTGGCCCTATTCCATTTCTTCTACTTTTAATGTAACTAAAAAACGTTTTGTTATTATCTTTCACATCTCTTGCCGTGTTCAATTCAAAGCTTTTCTTTGCCATTCTGATGCCTTTTTTGCAGTCCTGCCATGCCTCCCGGTATTAAGGCTGACTTATTTCTGTGCTATTTTCTTTCATGGCCTTAAATTTGCTTTGTAGCCCCGTCCAACCAGGCAGGAGTGCCTTTAAGCTTGGTACCTTTGCTTTGTATGGGTACACAATGTTCCATTGCCTTCATAATCACCTCCTTGAAGGAACTCCATAAGTCCTCCACTCCACTCCATTGCCATATTTAAACCTGCCAGGCCCACTCCGTCCGACTAGACTTCTCAAGCGCACAAAGTCAATCCTCTTGAAATTTGGCAGTTTGGTTTGATATTGCTTTAATATCAATCTACTTTATAAACACAACTAATTGTATTTATAAAGCGCCTTTCACGTCGGGAGCACCTTTCACATTGTAGTGCGCAGAAGGAGAGGGGCAGTGGGAAATTGAAAAGTAGCGCGGGATTGTCTAGGTCACAGCCTGTGCTACAGGAAGTAACTTAAAATCAGGGTAAATCAGTCACCGAGTCTCCGAGTCTCACTGTCGCTCAGGCGTTCCTCACCACAGCCCTCTAATGGACTGGCATTAGAGGAGCCATCGCATACTGTTGTCCTCTTGTTAGAGTTGCCTCATTAATCGTCCCCGGGTTCAGAAAAGTCAGGATCAATGTGTTGCAATTTGACTATTTCAATGACCTTTCACAAAGGGGGGTTACCTCGGTGTTGCAGTCTGCAGCAGATATAATTGCTGCTTTCCAGAAGTGCACATCACTGTCACTGACTCAGTAAATAAGATTAACACTCATTTGACTTGCAGATATCAAGAGGAGTGCTAATGGTACATATTTTGACTGTACATCAAAACATATTGTGGCTCCTGGGAGATCAGCCCAGAGGATTAGAGACATTGTGAAAAATTCTAATCCAGAACATCACTGAGAGAAATGGGGGTGGGGGGAGAGGGGGGGTGGAATACAGAACAAAATGGTATTATTTATACATTAACCATTTCAGAGTGCCTCCAATGGTTTGGGGGGGTGGATGGGGAGAGAGTGATATGCTCTGAGTGTTGGAATTCTCTGCTACACACCCCTGTTGAGGCAGAATCCCTATACTTATTTAAAAAAAGGGAATTACAGGCTCTCCGGCCCCAACCTTTGGAACTCCATCCTACATTCCCTTCACGTTGCTCCCTCCCTTGTCTCCTTCAAGGTAAGGGTATGTGTGTGGAGAGGGTGGGGGGGCATGAGTGAGATTAAATCATACAGAGGAAATCCACCTGTGCAGACATGAGGGCTGAACAGCCTGTGTTTGTATTTGTAACATTCTTTGATTGAGTCCCGTCTGCCTGGTCCCACACGACCCCATCTCTCTAACCTCAATTCATTTCTTTGTCAGAGTTAGCCAATTCCCTCTTTAATCTGTCCACAATTTTTCCTGCGATTGCCCATTCAACACTTTCATAGCCGCCTGTAGGGTAGCTACATGCCAGGGGTGCATACAGGACTCACACAGGAGAGAGGCGCTGATCTGAGCACTGCAGGCTCCAATGCTGACCAGCTTTTGGTGGCCAGGTTTGCTCTACTCTTGTAGTCATTGCTTTGGGTTAGTATGGGTAAGATTCACTGAGAGTGCATTTGCAGTCACTGTTGCTAGCACTGTGTAATATCACCTCCACGCCGAGTTTGTTTTCCTTCTGGAGGCAAACCAGGGCTTGGTTTTCCCGGTTCCGTATCTCGCACCGCCTGACTCTTGAGCCGAGCCCAGAGGTCAGGAGTTTGGGTCCTCTTTTATGCCAACAACAGCGTGTGTTTATACAGCGCCTCTCATGCAACACTTGACAGTGGAGGAGCACGACACTGAGCCACTGAGGGAGGAATGGCTGACACGACCTGAAGATGGGGAGGGAAGGAGCAAGGCGGGGGGATAGAGTAAGAGTGTTCCAGAGTTTCAGGGCATAGTGGCTGAAAGCGTGGCCACCGATGGTGGGATTCCAGAGCTCCGGGACCGCAACATAACGGCGGTAAAACGCCGCATTTCTCCTTCGATCCTATTTAGAGCAAGTGAATGGCAGATGCAATACCTTGTGTAGGCTCCTCGTTCCTCCACCCACTTGTTATACATATTAAAGAGTGGACTGATTTATCCAGCCCGTCCCCGGACGAGTGCGGGGGCTGGTGGCGGCAGCCTAGCTTGAGGGAGAGCTGCCCTGGCAGTTGCCGTTTTATCTGAGCAGCTTATTATTCATCGCTTCAGACCAAATGATGAAATTTGCATAAATGTCTCCCACTGAATTTAAGGGCCCACGTCTCTGTGACAGGCTAACCTGCACCTGCCATTCGTGACGAAGTTCAGCCTGGTAACCCACGCAGAACCTACTGTCACAGTGGAATTGTTATCTGTTCAAATTAGTGTTGTGTCTTTTGAGGCTTTTTTTATAAAGGAAATACAGCCCAATTTTGAGTTCATTTGTGTAATGGACGCCTCCCCGCCTCCTCCCATATCCATACTTATTTGTGGAGTCCTGCAGCTCAGCGGTTAGAGCACTTGCCTCACAAATGAGAGGACCTGGGTTCTATTCCGGGCAGGGCGAAACATTGGGCAAGTTTCCTTACTCCACACACCTCAGTAGGAAGTAGTTAGCCGATTGGCGGATCGCTTTTCCAGGGATAATGTTTCCTCAAAGAAAAACAATAATAATTTGGTCACTTAATCCACGACTGCTTGTGGGATGCTGCTGTGGGCAATTAGCGTTTCGCCCACAAATATACAGATAATTCACTTTACGGTATATTCTGTGAAGCGCTTTGACACGTCGAGAAGACATGAAAAGCGCTATTTCAAATGCAAGGATTATTATTATTATATCCTAATCTTGCATTTGATATTGTGCCTTATCATATCATTGAGACGTCTGAAAGCGCTTTACAGGATATACTGCAAGGTGGATCGGCTGTGTATTTTGTGGGCAAAATGCGGCAACCAGTTGCACACAGCAAAATCCCACAAACAGTTATGGAGTGAGTGACTGATTTTTGGGGAGGATTATTGGCCAGGACAATGGCTTGGTTTGTCAGTCTTCCAGTTTGGACAATTGCTAAGTTGTGCAGTTTGTGTTTCTCCCCCTCTTCCAAATCCCTGCACGACCTTGCCTCTCTTTACCTCTACCTCCAGCCCGATTCTTGTCCCTTAGTTTGCGATTAGAGAGTCTTTCTACTTGAAGAGCTGTGAGCTAAAGGGAGGCTGGCTGGAATGAATACGTGTGTGCATTCAGAGCAATCCTCAATATTTCAGTGGATCTGGCTCCTCTCATCTTGCTGTGCACATCACAGGAAAGTGTTTTACCACAGAAGCCAAACTTTCAGTGCCCCCATATTTTCTGAGACACTAGAAACCCATTGAGCATCAAAGTTAAGCTCAATTTCCTGATTCACGCAAGCGTAACAATTCAGTTTACAATAAACATTCCTCCCTCTATCTCCAGTGCAGCTTTCTGAGACCGTGGTGGCTGTCACTCAGTAGATAACTGAAATTTCCGGAATTGGCTCTCCACCCTGAATCATCCCAACAGAGGGGCCCAGCCTGCTGAGACACCAGTGTTTTTGAAGTTTGCCATCTGTGAAATAGGATAGGCTCTAGACGAAGCTGCATAGAGAATCGCAAGAGACAGCTGTTTATAAATGCTAAATTGTCTTCAAGGACCTTTACCCTGTATGCACTTAACGAGAACGCCAAAGCTCCCGGTGTCGGTGGTTCCCTGACCCGAGGGAGACTTTTAATGTTAATAATAATCCTTGCATTTGATAAGTTGAGACGTCTCAAAGCGTTTCATGGAACATACTCTGAAGTGAATTGACTGCATATTTTGTGGGAGAAACGCAGCAGCCAATTGCGCACAGCAGCGTCCCACAACAGTCGGGGATTGAGTAACCAAATTATTATTATTTTTATTTATTTATTTTGAGGGGAGGAGGGATTATTACCCCTAAAAAGCGATTAACCAATTGACTAACAACTGGGTTCCTACTTACTGCTAGGTAAACAGAACAAAACATGTGGAGCAAGGAAATTTGCCCTGCCCAGGAATCGAACCCGGGGTAATTGCGAAGCAATTGCAGTAACCTTTACGTTACAGGACTTCACAATGCGCTACAGAACTCCACAAAGCCTATAGTATATTTTATACCTAGACCTGAGACACTGTGGTGGTGGAGGAGGTTATCAATTGAAGATGTCACAAAATCTTCCTGATCTTAAACCGTGTGCCTCATGATATTTGAAAACCTTGTTCTGTACAGTGCCAATTCAGTATATCTCAGCTACATGTTGTAATGAGCTAAGTGTGAATCCTCACGCAATATCTTCACGATTAGGAATGGGATGGATCGAGGCTTCACGCAAATGGTTTACTATGGCGAAGAGTTCAGTTAGAAAGGGCCTTTTCAAAAATAGAACAATGGATCCAGAGAAGGCGTTTGCTGTGAACAAGGACTTATACAGCACTTGTGGCATAGGATGAGCATCTCAAAGCCATTCAGTGATGATGGGGATCACAGAGCTTTGAGGAATGGAGGAGAACATTTTTGGCTGGTGACTAACAGGCGAAGTGGTGAAGATGGTTTTGTAGGCAAGTGTATATATTGGCAGAACTAGTCCCAGAGAACGGAGGTATTTTACAGATCGCAAAAGAGATTTGGAGCACAAACTAGTATCCGCTTGCGCTTTGTAAATGTTTTGAGAAATGTGTGTACTTACTAGAATCGGATTGTAACGTATTCCGATGGCTTTGCTCAAACGATCCGAATGATCTACAGGCAGAGAGAGAGATGCTGCTTCTTTCAAACCTCACCAAATTTGTTGTATCTTAAGCTGACTTGTCCTTTTTGTCTTTTCCAGAGGGTTTCCAATGTTTTATACCCCATGCCTCCGGATCAGAGGAGACATGTTAGCATCAACTCAGCTCGCTGGCTTCCTGCCCCTGGGATGGGCCTGGCCTACGGAACCAACAAAGGAGATCTGATCATTGGGCGGCCAGTGTAAGTTCCTTTCAGCCTTGATGCTCATTTCATCTGCAATCGATACCTTGTGGAATCCTGTAGCTCAGTGGTTAGAGCACTTGCCTCTCTTGCGAGAGGGCCCGGGTTCGATTCTCAGGCAGGGTAAAACGCTGGGCAAGTTTCCTTACTCCACACGCCTCTGTTTACCCAGCAGTAAGTAGGAACCCAGTTATGAGTTGATTGGGGGATCGCTATTCCAGGGGTAATAATCCCATCAAAAAATAATAATTTGGTCACTCAATCCGTGACTGTCAATTCAAAATATACAGTCAATTCACTTTACAGTGTATTCTGTAAAGCGCTTTGAGACGTCTCAAAGATGTGATAAGGCATCAAATACAATTATTGCCTTCAGAATATCCATTTATCATTTCGATAAAGGCTAAACACCCTTTTTTTCTGAGTTCTCCCCCGACCACTGACAAAGTGTGAAAATTTATGAGTTACAAAATTGTACAACAACAACTTGCATTTATATAGAGCCCTCCACTCCGGACGGTGTCTCAAAGTGCTTCACAGTAACGAATCCTGGGACCGAGCCAGGGGGAGGGGGAGGAAGGTGACCAAAGACACGGTTGAAAAGAATGCAGAGACCTGAAATAGGAAGAGAGGGGACAAGATGAAGGGAGTGAGGAAGGGAGTTGCAGAGCCTCGGGGCAAAGTGGCTGAAAGCATGTCCGCCGAGGGTGGAGCAGAGTACTCGGGGGACAAGGAGAGGCCAGAGCCGGAGGAACGAAGGCAACGGGCACTGGTTTGAGGAGAGAGGAGGTCCTCAGTTGTTGTTGGGGGGTGCGGAGGAGTGGAGGGATTTGAAGACAAGGGTGAGGATCTTGAAGTCGATCCTCTCTGGGACAGGCAGCCAGTGCAGTCTGGCTAGGACTGGGGTAGTCGGGGAGCGGAGTTTGGTGCGGGTGAGAATGCGGGCGGCAGAGTTTTGAATGATCTGGATTTTATGGATGGTAGTGGATGGGAGGCCGCCGAGGAGGGCGTTAGAGTAGTCCAGCCGGGAGGTAGACCAGGGTTTCAGCGGCTTTCGGAGAGAGTTATAGGCGATGGTTGGAGGTGGAAGAAAGCGTTGCTGGTGAGGGACCAGATGTGGGGGAGGAAGGATAATTGGGGGTCGAACCTGACGCCTAGGTTGCGTACGGGTTCAGAGAGTTTTAGGTGGAGGTTGGGTAGGTGGAGGAGGTGAGAACCGTGAGATTTTAGACGTTGACGAGAGCCAAAGAGTATGGCTTCCGTCTTGTCAACGTTCAGCTGAAGGAAATTTGCGCTGATCCAGCCCCTGAGATCTGACAGGCAGCTGACAGAACATCAGGGGACTGAGGGTCGCAAAATATACCCCATGTCTGCGGATGATATCCCCAAGAGGGAGCATATAGATCAGAAAGAGGAGAGGGCCAAGGATGGATCCTTGGGGTACCCGCAGGTGACCGGGTGAGAGCGGGAGGAGAAGCCGTTTGTGCAGATGTACTGCTGGTGGTTTGTGAGGTAGGACTCGAACCAGACAAGTGCGGTCCCACTGAGGTGGGTCTCGGAGAAAAGGCGGTGGAGGAGGATGGCGTGATCGACTGTATTGAACGCAGCGGAGAGGTCTAGGAGGACAAGGAGGCAGAGGGAGCCCTGGTCACAGATAGAGAGGATGTCGTTTGTGACTTTCACAAGCACAGTCTCTGATCTGTGGGCGGAAACCAGACTGGCGGGGTTCGAAGAGGGAGTGGGAGGAGAGGTGTGCGTGAAGTTCATTGGCAACAGCACGTTCTAGGACTTTTGCAAGGAAGGGCAGATTAGAAATAGGGCGGTAATGGCTGGGGTTTGAGGGATCTAGGGAAGGTTTTTTGAGGAGGGAGAGGTGATGACAGCAGTTTTGAGGGGGGCAGGGACTGATTCGGAGGAGAGGGACTGGTTGATGTCATCAGCCAGTAGTGGGTGGAGAAGGGGAGCTGGGCGACCAGCAAATTGGTGGGGAGGGCGTCAAGGCAGCAGGTGGTGGGTTTCATGGAGGTGATGGTGGGTGAGTGGGAAGAGGGAGAGATGGGGAGGAAGGGATGGGGGACAGAGAGGGCATGGAGCAGAGGGATAGGGAAAAGAGGAGAGTAGAGATGAATGTGTGGAAGGAGACAGGGGGGCTTAGGGGAGCGGTAGACAAGGGGGTTTTTCAATGGGAGAGAAGGGTGGAAGAGGATGAGGTGCTCGAAGAAGGGGAAGCAGCCAGAGGAGTAGGGGGAAAGACCAAGGGAGGCTTTGGAAATGAAGGCCACCCCGCCGCCACGTTGGTTTGGACGGGGGGGTGTGGTGGAAGGTGTAGCCTGGAGGGGAGGCTTCCACTAGGGGAACGGGGTCATTGGGGGAAAGCCAGGTTTCGGTGAGTCCAACAATGTCAAGGTGCTCGTCCAGGATGAGGTCGGGGATGGTGAAGGCTTTGTTTGAGCCGGTAGCCTGTTCTGTAAGGACTTAGACACACTTGAACAATTTTTCTTCGGGAAATCTTGAGAGAAAAGCCAGAAGAATGCTTTATCAACCAAATACGTCATCCGATACCCTCAACAACAACAACAACTTGCGTTTATATAGCGCCCGTCGCCGAGCTCCGGTAACTGCCGGATTTTTCGCGGTTTTACCATTGCCAACACTTGTCTTTTCTGAAACTGCGAAGATGAGGAATTTTCTGGGCTGCAGAGCTGCCACCTGACAGCACCTGGTGTTCCTCATTAACCCCCAAGTGTCATTTCCACATTGGACCTTGTGCACTGAAAGCTGCACCTCTGATGAAGCCTGATGATGTGCTGATTGCTTCCCCGTGGAGGATACACATTTTCCTGCTTTTCACACCTTGGTCTTGCTTAAAATCATTACAAGCGCGTAGATTGTCTGTCAGTGCGACGCGGGGGCAGTGGGTTCGCTATCGGAGGTCAGCTGAGGGGGAAATGACTCTGTCCGCTGTATGTTAATTGTGTAGCTGTTATTATAGCAGGGTTTCAAAACACCAGCCTTGCTGTAGCTTCCTGTTAATCAATGTTGAGAGTGCCATTACTCCTGCACTAGCAGTAATTAGCTTTATTATTTATTAGAATTGGGTTTAATTACCAAATCATAATTAATGCAACTAATGATGAGAAGGTAAACAGTGGACAAAAGTCACACCCTGTAAAGAGAGCCAAGGCATCATTACTCCAGGACCTTGAAACTGACTTTGGGTGGGACAGGTACCTGACTCCTTCAGTCTGTTTGTGTGGTTATAAGAGAGCAAACCAGCTGGCTTCCTGGTTAGAGCATTCGCCTCGCAAGCAAGAGGACCCGGGATCGGTGCCGGGCAAGGCGAAACCTTAGGCAAGATTCCTTACTCCATACGCCTCTGTTTACCTAGCAGTAAGTAGGAACCCGATTGTTAGTCGATTGGCAGATCACTTGCCTGGTTTCGCTCACAAATATACAGTCAATCCACTTTATAATATTCTGTGCAGGGCTTTAAGACGGCTAAACAGTGTGATAAGGCACTATATCAAATCCAAGGATTATTATTATAATTATATTCCAAGCTCCATTTTGTCATCTCCAATCCGGTCAGATTCCCTGTGTCCTGTTCCCACATCTCTGCATTATCCACCTGTTCCTGGTTAGTGCCAAATCTTGTGTTGCTCTTTTAAAACTTGTTCTCTTGGTGGCTTAAGCCCTTTCTTAATATTAAAGTGTAACCGGGCGGTGATAACCGTTTGTAATATAGCTACACGTACAGGCAATGCAAGCTTGAGATTTTGTTTTCTTAACTAAAATGCCGTATCTCACTAACGGCCAATCCAAGACTGTAATCAGAAATCAGCAGGCCGGTGCAATGGACTTTGTCATTAACGCAGGACACTTGCTCGTGAGCACACTCACTCAATGTACTACTAAATTAATGAATGGACCGCAAAGTTACTGGAATATATTGTTTTACATTCAAACGACACTGATATGCTGGAGGCAGTTGGAGAAGAGCAACGTGGATGATTAAGGTTGGGGCATAATAATCCTTGCATTTGAAATAGCGTTATCATGTCGTTGAGACGTCTTAAAGCCCTTCACAGAATATATTGTATTGTGGATTTACTATATATTTTGCGGACATCTCAGCTTTACAAGGAGAATCTTGCAGAAATGAACCTGTGCTCATAGAAGGAACAAGTCTTAAGAGGGGAAATGTAATCCAGGTCTTTAAAATGACAAGAAACACAGGGGATATTTTATCACTAACTGAAGAAGACCTTGAAATGGGATCCGAGGATGTGGGTGTAATGGGGAAAATGCCAAGAGAGCTTGTCAGGATGTTTTCCCTCCAGTGTTGTAGAACAGATTTGCATGAGTTGCAGTTGATGCTTCATCAGTTCTTCTAAACCCAGTCAGGTGTATGAGAACAGTATTGGAGACTGAGGTGAAGAAGCATTCTTTCGGGACCCCTGTACTGTTAAGGCAGGCTACAGGGTATATAGTGTGTGCCCTGGGGTTTTGAATAATGGAAACATCCATATACATTCTCCGAGGAGATTGTGTAGGTGGGGGTGCAGCCAGGTTTGTAGAGCGAGGCTGGTTGACACAAAGGGTCTGTCCTAGTTCCCCGCTTATCTACAATTCTGAGTATCGTGATGGTCGAGATTTGTGCCCCCCCAAACAAGAGCACTTTCTCAGCTCTGGGAAACTAACAGTTAATGCACGACTGCTCTTGGGCAACAGTTAAATAGCAGAAAATTGGAGAATCAGCGGTTTGTGTACTTTCTGCATCTTCTTATTGATTGTTTTTCACTGAAAGCTCCTGCCACAGGATTGAATAGGTAGGTTGAAGTAGCATTCTGTCTTTGTCTGTTTAGACAGTGTCAATTGTAAGGGCTTTTGTTGTGAGAAAGCAGGGCGCAGGAGAATATGTCTCCTTCTCAAGGCTCTCGATTCTTTGCATTCGCCTCACAGTTCCACGCGCAGGCCCGGAATTGTTTACACCAAGCATACCACCCCAGACCAAAGCATAGCACTGAGCGATCTGTAAAACCCGAGGTGGAACAAGACACAAGTCAGGTGTTTTAACACAAGGTGCAGTCTCGCCTCTGACCCACTGCCTTGTCTCCCTCCATGTAGCTCTTGTGTTGAAGACAGTGCCAACAAGTGCCAAGGGGCTTGATTCCCTGTAGTGTTTAGAAAGCCTGCAGCCACTCTCCACCGCGTTGTCGGCTCTGGCTACACGATGGCTTCCACAACACTGCCTGTAATCACTTCGCCATTCGCACTTCCCCAAGTTGCTCTTTACAATTCCATAACTTAGTCTTCAGTACATCTTCACTCTGCAAAGCATAGGAACGAGAGCTCATTGTTCTACTTCTCCAAGAGGTCTTAAAAGGCCCTGACAACCCTACAAACATGTTGCAAAGATAATTCTAATAAACAAAATCCTTGCTTTGATATAGCACCTCATTGTGTCGTCGAAACGTCTCAAAGTGCTTCCCAGGATATATTGTAAAGTGAATTGATTGTATATTTTGTGGGTGAAATTCTATGGAGCAGACAAGTCTTGTAGCATTGTAGAGGTGATTGTGTTCTATAGATCTCTTAGGTTTGGAGTATACTAAAGACAGTAACACAACGAGAGGTTAAATCATCCGAATAATTGGTTGTAAGTTTGATTCCCGATTCTTGTAGCATTGTAGAGGTGATTGTGTTCTGTAGATCTCTTAGGTTTGGAGTATACTAAACACAGTAACACAACAAGAGGTTAAATCATCTGAAAAATTGGTTGTAAGTTTAATTCCCGATCTATGCTGTTAACCTGCTCACAATTGACCCTCAGTAGCCTCAGCGAGAGAGGGGAAAAGGCAGCCAGGGTTGGAATTCGTTCCCATGCCCCCTGCTTACAAAAACACGAGGGGAGGATCAGGCTTGGCAGGAGCTCTGATTTGCGGAAATGCTGCTGCAGTGAGTGAGTAGTAAACATATGGAACAGGCTCCTTAGGGAGGCGGTGGAAGCAGAGAGTGTTGTTTCAAGAAAAAATTAGTAGATTTCTGTTAGAAAATGATATCTAGGGATACAGTATATAGTTTGGGACATGACGTGTCAAGCGATGGTGGCAGGCGAACTGGATGGACCTTGGTCTTCTTTCACCTAGCAAATTCTTATAATAATAAAAATCCTTGCATTTGATATAGCCCCTTCGAAACGTCTCTCTCAAAGCGACAGCCAATTGCACACAGCAGCATCCCACAAACAGTCATGGATTGAATGACCAATTTATTATTATATATTACATTATATTATATTATTATTCCGCCAATTGACTAACAACTGGGGTTCCTACTTACTGCCATGTAAACAGGTGTGTGGAGTAAGGAAACTTGCCTAACATTTTGCCCTTGGGAATCGAACCCATGTCTGTCGCCTGTGAGGCAAAGAGCTCTAAACACTGAGCTACAGGACTCTTATGTTCTTATTTACATGGGGTCACTGTCTCAGATCGACCTTTTACACGATAAGGTTTGTTCTCTTCGCTCTCTACTTTACAGATCCTCACACCTGAGCAGTTCAGAGTTACGTTCTCAGAACGTTGGGTTAGTGCAGCCAGATCGAACGTGATGCAAGCATGTGTGCAGCTTCCATTCACTCCTGAGAATTGAATCCTAATTTGGGCGTGAAATTTCCCATTCAAGTGCAAAATGGTTTTGGCAAATCACTTATGCTTCAGGATCCATCCTTTAGAAGCTGGAGTTAAAAGCCACGTCGTTGTGAGGAGCATTTTTATGCAGCACGTGCCACCTCACGTCAGTGTGGAGAATAAATCTTTGCATGTCTTTGACTTGTCTACTTTGTATTTAATAAAATGTGGTCAGTTGACTACTTTAGCCAACAAAGTAACTTCAATTGTGCTCATCACTGAGTTTTAAACTTCATTACTGCATTGTGTGGTTTGTACATTGGGAAAGGCTTGTTGGTGGAAAAGTCTACGCATGGGCATTAAAACCTGTAGAAGAGGGATTTGAGAGGAGCTCAGGGAGAGCTCAAATTGACTTAAAAACTTGTGGTTTGTTAGCTTCTGTTTAAGACTGTAGATAGAGATTGGTGCATAAGTCAAAGCTTCCGAATTCTGGTGGTGAGAGTTGGGTAGTAAAAATCTAGCTTGTCTGCAGAATCTCTTGGGTGGAGCCCATGTGTTGACTCAAGGAAGGGTCAAAAGGAACACTAAGGACAGTGGCACCCTGTGCCAATTCCACTTTTCTCAATATCACTACACTGTGGCAATGAGTGTATTGAGTCCTGGAGCTCAGTGGTTAGAGCACTTGTCTCGCAAACATGAGGACCTCGGTTCGATTCCCGGGCAGGATGAAACATTGGGCAAATTTTCATACTCCTCACACCTCTGTTTATAGCAGTAAGTAGGAACCCTCGTCGTTAGTCAATTGGCGATCGCTTTTCCCGGGGTAACATCCCTTAAAAAGAATAATAATAATTTGGTCACTCAATTCACGACTGTTTGTGGAACGCTGCTGTGAGCAATTGGCTCCTGCGATTCGTCCACAAAATATAGTCAATCCACTTTACAGTGTGTCCTGTGAAAGCGCTTTGAGACGTCTCGAAGACGTGATAAGGAGCGATAGCAAATGCAAGGATTATTATTATGAGTCACCTCACTCTCCCACCTCCAGATTATCAGACCCAACTTGAGATCAGGGAGAATGAAATGGTGCCTCGCAACTCTTCCCTCTCTCTTGTTTTGCAGAGCTTCAAAAATGGAGACGGAGCACAATTGGGAACAGCTGTCGGAGCCCGTCTCTTCCCATCACACCAACCGGAGTAACGAGAGGCCTGGGTAAGGCTGGCTCCTCCATCACTCTCTCCATTATGGTGTTATTGATCTTGATTCCCGCATTGAGGCACAAGAGTCTGTAATTGCTGACAACGTTTTAATGCCCCGGGCTCTATAATGTGCTATGTATAAACCATGTGTAATTGCAGGTGTGTTATGCGCCATGTGTAAACCACATGTAAATACAGTTGTATTATGCACTGTGTAAACCATTGCGTAATTAATAAATATGTTTAATTCAATACAAATTAAGGGCACGTGTCATTCCTCTCTACACGTGGTTTACACATATTGTATAGTGCACCTGCAATGGCACGTAGACATAATATTCCCCACTTTTCCACACCAGTGAGTTCTGTCCTACACTCAAAGTATTCTGTTTCTGGCACTGTGACCAAGGCAGAGGATTGGATTGAGGATAGTTATGGGAGTAACTGAGGCAAAGGATGGAGTAACAGACCCTATGGTAATGATTGAGGCACAGTATTGACATGCTGGGGGAAACTCTACCTTGCTGCCTTGTGTTTGGGCTTAATTTTCTGCGCTTACATTTTACATTGGTTGATAGTAATATTAATGGGGTTCAAGACAGGGTTTGGGGGTAGGTTCAATTCACCCATTTGATTAGGTTGTGGGGAAGAGATGGCAGAGGCAAAGCTATGAATTTATTTGGGGGGTGGACGGGCAATTTTGAAATCGGATTGTTTGACCCGCAAACCGTCGATGCGCTTCAAGTGGATGAAGGTGATTCTGCTACTTTTCCAGGCCAAACCGAACCTCGTGGAGGACAGACCGTGACATGGGCCTGATGAACGCGATCGGGCTGCAGCCTCGCAACCCTGCCCCCTCGGTGACTTCGCAGGGAACCCAGACGCCATCGCCGCAGTTACAGAACGCAGAGACTCAGACAGACCGCGATCTGCAGGAGGCCTCCACTTCAGGGACCAGTCAGGGTGAGGAAGAGCGTGGCGCTTTGTGTAAGGCTAACCGTGGGATGATTGGAATCTCGTCGGCTCCCTTTACATAGCTACAAGGTCCCAGGAGGTCAATCAGACCATCGTGTGTGTGTGCCACCGCTACCTGGAGTCCTGTAGTTTAGTGGTTAGAGCACTCGCCTCGCAAGCGAGAGGACCTGTGTTCGATTCCCAGTCAGGGCGAAAAGTTTGGGCAAGTTTCCTTACTCCACACACCGCTGTTTACCTAGCAGTTAGTAGGAACCCGGTTGTTAGTTGATTGGTAGATCATTTTTTCTTCATAATAAATAAAAATAATCTGGTCACTTCAATCCACGACTGTTTGCGGGACACTGCTGTGCACAATTGGCTGCCGCGTTTCACCCACAAAATATACAGTTAATTCACTTTGCAATATATTCTGTGAAGCTAATTAGTTTTACTAATTCAGGTTCTTGTAAATGAATCCCACTTTCTATCATTTTATCGTATCCTTGAATATGTTTCCTGCCCTGTCCAATTATAGCGAGTTTGTCACAGTATGATTGATCTAAGCTTCCTTTATGTTTACTAATCTCTACGTATTTCTGTTAGTAGAATGTCTGCCCTTTGCAAACATTAAGTGATGTGTTACCATGGGATGCCTGGCTAGGGGTATTATTATTGGTTAAGTGGCTATTCTATAGCGTGTAGTTAGTTATTCTTGTGGCAGGACATGATGTGGGATGCTTTGTAAATCTTTCCCGGTTCCCGAATTCCTAGCGAGTATCTTGGCTTCTTTTTAAAAACTTCCGTCAGAACTGCCAAACTGCCAAGCTTTTCTGACCTTAGATACCTGGCAGATGTTGTCTTTGGTATTGTCGCTAACACTGCTTCATTTTACAGTCTTTCCTCCGCGCCACCCCCCCCCCCCCCCCCGTTCTGTACGCTGTTAACCATAACATTAATTGGCAAAAAAAAAAAACCCCCTCTGGGATGCTATTTGTGGGGAGTGGTTTCACTTAGGGGCTGGAGGTTTAATGATTGCAGCTGTGTTAATGCTTTCACAGTCTGACGAGGCTGGGCTTGTGCTCTTGAGTATGCGTTTACATTTTGATCTTCAAACCCTTCCAATGCCTCTCCGAGCCCTCCTCTCCTGGTATAGAATAATAAGCGGTGGTGTTGTTGAGGCTGGTTTTGTGTCGAACTCCGCCTCCTGACAAAGGGTGGGTGGTGGGGGCGGGGTAGTGGTTGTGGGCAGGCAGATGCCAGGCTTCTGCCTTTCGAACCGGATTGCACCGACTGAATCATTTCAGCTGCTCTGAAGGCTGCTGCCCTTTTGCTTCAGTGCACTCGCGCTCAGTGCAGGGGATCGCACACCCTGTGCAGGCTAGCAAGCTGCTGGCACCACTGTGGTCTCTTTCACTTGAGTCGTCAGACAGTTTAGATGTCACCTGAACACATTTCTAACAGGACCATAAGCAGTGTAAGAAAAAGCCAGCTTGACAAGCTAAGCTCCATTTTGAAGCCTCTGCCGTTAATGGGGCCTCGCTGTGTGAAACTGCTGCACATCGATTGTATGTCTCAGTGCACCTTTCAGTCCTTTATTAAGTATGTCTTGCACACCTGCCCAAGGGAGATATCCAACAGTACAGCAGAGGGTCGTTAACTTGAAGCACTGTGTCTCCGAGGCACTTAATGGGAATCTCGAGCAAGTTTGAATCTAGCGTCTCGTTTCAAATGTTTCTTCATTATCCATCACTAGCAATTGGTCCTGAATAGCACACCCAATAGTCCGGATCCCAGCTTATAACTCTTCCTAAGTACATCGATAAGCCTAAGAAAATTCAAATACAATTTGCCCTCGAAGGCGCTATACAAATGTAATTTGTTGTTGTGGTTGAAGTGATTTGGATCTCACTTTGACGTTGGGCGAAGGACATGTAGAAAACATGCGGCGTACTCGCTCAGCGTACAGAATTATTGCTGACTTTTCTGTGGCTGTTCAAGGAGTGCTTTTAGCTGGCTTTCCCTCATGGAATCCTCAGGACTTGATTTCCCCTCTTTCCTCCGACCCCCCCCCCCCCCATAACATCTGTAGAATCTGAAGCTCTGATTTTCAGGCCACAGTAACTGCATGACTAACGACCGCCACAAACATGCCTAATACAGGGCTGAAGGGTGCATTGAGACGTACGTGAGCTGCTTCACAAAGACGTGCAACTTCACCTGCTCTCGCCCTCATCCCAGGCCTGGAAATTCCAGACTTCCCATAAAAGAACCAAATAGCTTCCGAGTCAAGACTGAATACAAGATTCTCACCCCCCCACCCCGCCCCACAAAAAAATAATCTGGTCATTCAATCCACGACTGTTTTGCGACGCTGCTGTGCGCAATTGGCTGTTGCTTTCCGCCCTCAAAAATATGCAGTCAATTTACTTTACAGTAGATTCTGTGAAGGGATTTAAGAAGTCTTGACATGATAAGATATGCACAAATTATTATTATTATCCACAATCAGAAACTTTAAGACAAAATGCACATGCAGTCTAAGACTAGGTTAGCATCTCGGGTCTTCCTACGACTGGATATTTTAATAATATATAATAATCCTTGCATTTGACATAGTGCTTTTCACGTCGGGATGACATCCCAAAGCGCTTCACAGAATACACTGTAAAGTGAATTGACTATATTTGTGGGCGAACGCGCAGCCAATTGCGCACAGCAATGTTCCACAAATAGTCGTAGATTGAAAATGACCAATTTATTATTGTTTTTGGTTTTGGAGGGATTATTATTAGGCTCTGTGTGGAGTAAGGAAACTTGCCCAAGGTTTCGCCCTGACCTGCCTGGAATTGAACTCAGGTCTCTCACTTGCAAATCGAGTGCTCTAACCACTGAGCTACAGGACTCCATTTTGTGGGCGAAACAGGGCAGCCAATTGCACACCGTAGTGTCTCTGGATTGAATGACTAAATTATTATTATCATGGTGTTTTGAAAGTGAACGGCCAAACGTCATGCAGGTAAATTGACCATTTAACTTTGTGGCTGCAGTTGTTTAGACGGGTGCTGACTGATGCTGGAGTGTGCCTGATAAAGAGCTTCACGTAGAAGCGAATTAAGGTTGCCGAGTGGAGTGCGTGTCACTGCCGGGTTCTGAATCCCTCGCCTGCTCGAGCTTTGCCTGCCAGTTCTGGTTCAGCTTTTGTCTCGATAACCACCCACAGACCAGGGCGGAGCGGTTTGAGCAGCGTCACTCCGCCGGCAGCCTCCCACATGTCCTTAAATATTGTGAACTAACCTCTGGAACCAAGTGGAAATTCCACAGAGTTCTGCTGCCCGCATCAAGACACGTCTCCTGTTTAACACCGACTTGAAAATGAAGCTCGCAAAAGCCCGTCTGTACTTTGAACTACTTTAGTTTGAAGTTATCATAGAATCATAGAATTATACAGCACAGAAGGAGGCCATTTGGTTCATCGTGTCTGTGCCAGCTCTTTGAAAAGAGCTAAGTTTATCTTACCTTTATCATTGCCACGACGATTCATTATGATCTAGACTCCCGTGCAATTTTAAATAATAAAAGGATTCGATAGGATAGATTTCCTCTACCTATTTCTTCTGGTGGGGGGATTCCAGAACAAGGGGCATCATCTTAAAATTAGAGCCAGGCCATTTAGGAGTGAAATTAGGAGGCAGTTTTGAACCCAATGGGAGGTGGAAATCTGGAACTCTCCCACAAAAGGCTGTGGATGCTGGATCCATTCAGATCTTCAAGGCGGGGTAGATAGATAATAGTTTGTTAGGTCAGGATATTAAGGGATATAGGGCAAGGGCAGGTAACTGGACTTGAGGTACAGATCAGCCAAGATGATATAAAATGGCAGAACAGGCTCGAAGGGCTGAATAGCCTACTCCTGTTTCTATGCAGTGGGACATAGGCCGCTGGGGGCTGCCAGTCTCCGGGAGGGATTTGGCAGAGATCGACATCTAGCCGCGCTAAATTGAAAGGTCTTATTGCGACTAAGGCTGTGTGGAAGTTTGAACTGTGGCATTGTTTAACCCACATTGTAGTCTTATTAGAGCAACTGATATTCAGGAGTTAATAGTCAGCAAGTGTCCTGGGAGGGCAAGTGGATATTAAATCCTTTCTCTCCTCCCCCACCATTGTTTGCCAAGATACCACTACATTCTCGTGGAGTCCTTAGCTCAGTGGTTAGAGCTCTCGCCTCGCAAGCGAGTGGGCCTAAGTTTGATTCTCGAGCAGAGCGAAATATTGGGCAAGTTTCCTTACTCCACACGCCTCTGTTTACCCAGCAGTAAGTCAGAACTCCGATATTAGTCGATTGGCAGATCGCTTTTCCGGGGTAATAATCACTTCCAAAAAATAAATTAATTAGTAATAATAATTTGGTCACTCAATCCACGACTGTTTGTGGGACGCTGCTGTGCGCAACTGCCTGCCTACAGTCAATTCACTTTACAGTATATTCTGTGAAGCGCTTTGAGACATCTGGAAGATGTGATAAGGCACTGTATCAAATGCAAGGATTATTATTATTTATGACAGGAGTCAGAACAGAACCTCAGAACCTTTGGGCAGCAATTAAACACAGTTGGCTCTGTGAGGGAGCAACTCTTATTTCTTATTTCTTATTCCCTGGAGAGGGAATATCCCCTTCCTGCGTCACTCTCCATACCTCCGGTCTAAACCACTGAACAGAAGAGAGGTTTAATTCTCTTCATAGAGGTGCCATTAAACATTAAGATTATTCAAAAAGCCAAACCATTTTTTAAAGCCCTGAATTGATGTCTGCGTCTTAATACCCATCAACTCTAGTAACTCGATCAGGGATTTACTGCTGCTTTCAAAGGTGCAAGGGTGAGATTGTGGCTTCCACCCCTTCAGATATCTCCATTAAAATATTATCCTGCATTCTTCTTCAATCCAGCTTTGTAATTCACTGTGAGCTGTCAGAGAGGGGTGTTCAATACTGTTGGTAGACAGGGTGGGTAATGTGTGGCATTCCTAGGATCAGCCGTGGAATTTCATACCAGTGCTTCCTGGCTGCCCTGTGACTGACGTTCCATCTAATCCCACTGCAGTCTCGCCACAGTCTCCACGCTCACTTCAAAGCAGCAATTAATACAGTGGGAAGGGACGCTTAAGTTATTTAATATTAGTGCACAGTTAAGGGGACCCTTAAATCTAGCTCTCTAACTCCAGACTATTTGGGGGTTGTACTATAGAATCATTAAAACTCACAGCGCACAGAAGATCATTCGGTGAATTGTGCCTCTCTCAAAGCTGTCTGTTTAGTCCCATTTGACTGGCCTTTCCTATTAAATTATATAGACTTGTTCTTTTGTCTACAATATACAGTTATTAACTTTACATTATAGCCTGGGAATCAATTTGAAATGTCCTTCCGATATTTCTTAATATAAGGAAGGTTATTTTTGTTACTTTCCACCACACACTTTTCTATTTCTTCTTTTCAGCTATATTATTTACCTAATTCTCTCAAACTAATGTGGATTCTGCCTCAGCCACCGTCCTCCAAATCGAGCTTTGCGCATCATATCAAAAAAAGTTTGAACTATGTTTTGCTTTGTCTAACTGCTTGCACGCTGTGTTTTTGTGTGTGCTATTGTCAATAGGTCAACTGTCCTCTTTATTAGAGGAGGAGAGGGATAAAAGCGGGTTTGGATAACCTGCGTGAAAAGGATTGGGTTCAGAGCGAGGCAGCTTCCCCGTAGGGCTCATTTTAAGGTAACTTGGTCGTGTCCTAACCGCAGCTGTGCTTCTCTCCCACAGCTAGCCAGTCTTCACTGAGCGAGCCCGAGCCCCCGCCAGCGAGTACGGCCGGTCAGATGGCAGAGGCCGCTGCAGGAACAAGTTCTGACTTCCCCCTCGAGAGAGCAGACGATAGCCTCCCTGCACAAGTCGCTGAGGCAGGTTCCGCAGCAGCCGGAGCCAATGCTGCTTCTATGGGTAGGTCACAGCGGAGCCATTACACTCCCCGAAACTCTGGGACACTCTCTCTCCCTCAATTCCTTCGCCTTGCCCCCTCCATCCCAATCTTCAGGTAACACCTGAAAACCTTCCTCTTCGACCTTGCCTACGGTCACCTCCCCACCCACCCCACCCCACCCCACACCCCCCGTCAGGTTCACCATTGTCAAGTGCTCTGGGACGCTACCTTGTGTGAAAGGGGCTATATAAATTCAAGTCGTTGTTGTTGTTGGGGGTTGTACCAGTGCGGTGCGATAACCAAGAGTAGAACAAGTACTGATCTGGGACCTGACAAAGCTGCTGATTATACTGACCTTATGTACCCGAACACATTAGAGTGCTGAGCCAGACACTGCCAGGTAGAGAGTGCTGACGCAGACACTGCCAGATAGAAGGTGTTGAGCCAGACACTGCCAGGTACAGAGTGCTGAGCCAGACACTACCAGAACAGAAACTGCTCTGGTTGGATTTGGGGGCCTCCTGGATGTAAAAATGACATCTGAATTAAGGCACACGTTGAAGTTGGATCAGCCTTCACTGTCACTGTTACTCCAGGTGTACGTTTCCACAGCACTCGCTGCTCTCAAGTAGGTCACTTGTTAGGTCAACAGATTAATATCTGACACAGTATCAGTCTTTGATGGGATTCTGTGCAAATGAGGTTAAATCCCTCTCCGTGTATTTCACCGCGGCAGTTTAAGGACTGGCATGTGCCCTGTTGCTAAATCTTCGCATTGTGTGTTTGGGTTGTGAAGTAGTAATGTCATAATTCTGCTCCATTTATAGAGGGGAACTGCTGATGAGAGTCACAGGTAATAAATCACATTGAGAGCAGAACTTGTGCATTAACCTAGCAACAATACAATACATTTTGCTTTGTGTGTGATATGCACCAGGAGTTTGCTATAAAGCCCGAGCAGCCATCAGCTGAAATTACATTAGAGTTTGTGTTCCCAGCAAGTGAGAATAATCTAATTTTACAGCTCAGCTTTCTCTCCCTACCCACCTTCCCTCACTCTCTCTCTCTCTCTTCCTCACCACCATGTTGATGTTTTACTTAAGGAGTCCTGTAGCTTAATGTTTAGCAAGCGAGAGAACTTACTGTTTCGCAAGCGAGAGATTCCCGGGCGGGGTGAAATCTTATGCAAGTTTCCTTATTCCACCCGCCTCTGTTTACTCAGCAGTAAGTAGGAACCTGGTTGATAGTCTTTTGGCGGATTGCTTTTCCGGGGATAATATGCCTCAAAAAAATAAAAATAATAATAATTTGGTCACTGAATCCACGACTGTTTGTGGGACAGCCCTGAGCGCAATTGGCTTCCGCTTTTCATCTACAAAATATACATTCAATTCACTTGATAGTATATTCTGTGAAGCGTTTTGAGATGTCTCGAAGACGTGATAAGGCGCTGTATCAAATGCAAGGATTATTATTAAATTATTATTATTAGATTATTATTAAAATTTCTGTATAAAATAAATTCTACAGAATTCTCTCTCTCTATACCCCCCAATCGCTCCCTTTGGTAAAGATTCCGCTTTTTTCTGTGCTGTTGCACAGCATGTTCCAGCCAGAACGCCACAAGTCATCAATTCACTTAAATAAAGGTTTAATACACGTAAAGTAATTTCATGTGAGTTGCAAGGGCCCAAGAACCAGTCTGATTTCCTCGGAGTGGTTTCTCCTGGCTCCCAGACAACTGTAATTTATTTGTTAATATTGTTTGTGGCTTTAATGTAGGTTTTAGCCGTTGCCTGGGGCATGTCCGTGGAGACTCCTGTCTCTGTGTGTTTGCAGCCCGCACTCAGCAGTGAACATGTACTGTTTATACTGATCAAACATCGGAGATAGACATTCCTGTCACACTAATGTTAACCTGCTGAAAGAAATCTCCCCAAAAGCACAGGAGCTTTCGAACCATCACTTGTTCTCATTCTTTTCTTCTCTTCATATTCTCCCCCCCCCCCCACCCTCTCTCCTGTTTTATGTTAACTTTATTACTTTCTTTGTTATTTTCTCTCCGAGTCTCTCCCTGCTTATCACGGTAAAACAGGAAGTAAAAATTCTATTGACCTTCCATGTAAATGCAGCCAGGCTCCATTGTCACAGGACTGTGTGTGTTTACGCTGTGACAGGACTTTGTGTTTGCGTTGTCACAGGACCGTGTGTTTGCATTGTGTCAGGGCTGAAAGTTTGTTGTTCTCGCAGCACAGTAATAATATTAACCTGAAATGAACCTGAATTAGTAAAACAGGTAATAATAATCCTTGCGTTTGATGTAGCACCTTATCATATCTTTGAGACGTCTCAAAGCGCTTCGCAGACTATACTGTAAAGTGAATTGACTGTATATTCTATGGGCGCACCGCGGCAGCCAATTGCACACAGCATCCCACAAACAGTTGTGGGTTGAGTGACCAAATTATAATAATTTTTTTTTAAAAAATGTGGAAAGGATTATTACCCCCAGAAAAGTGATACGCCAATCGACTAACAACCAGCTTCCTACTTACTGCTGGGTAAACAGGCGTTTGGAGTAAGGAAACTTGCCTAATGTTTTGCCCCACCTGGAAATGGAACCCAGTTTCTCTCGCTTACGAGGCTTCAGGACTCTATATTCACCTATGGAACCACAAGATGCCCCCATTTGTTTCACTGCTCTCCGAACTTTAGGTTCATCTGTAGTACAACTTCGCAGGACATTAAAAGTGAAAGAAGAATAGCAGAGATCAGAGGGACTTAACGTGGGAGGTGATGGATCTATTTCCTCAGATAATTGCTGGGAAGGCAATTGATGAATGGCTTTTAGAATGCTGACCGCTGTGGTAGAGTTGATATGTGCCTGGAGATTAGCTGACATTTACACAGCTGAGCTTCTGATACCTGTTGTGACTTGCAGCCTCTCTCTTATGTCTGTGTGTAAATATCGATAGCCATTGAGGACAATCTGGCCTTTTGTTTACAGCGACTTCTTTATTTACTGGAGAGACCGGGGCTCCTGCAGACCTGCAGTCTTTTAGGACGTTGCATTTAGAGCCCTTTGCCCTTAATCGTGCTTCTCAACGGAAGCTGCATAAATTCACCCAGATCAAGTACAGATTGGGCTTTGCTGTGAAAGTCACTAGGTATTGCGAGTGTTTTAAGGGTAAACGGTCACCCTGGAGCACGGCATAACACAGATGGTCTGCAGGGGCGCAGGATTAGTTGTGTGTTATATTGTGCCCCACAGTCTGGCTCCTAATCAGCTCTCGTAGCTTATTAGCAGCGATGCATACTTAGCCACGTCAATGTATGTCAGCATCACTGACTGTTCTGCTGCTTAGTTTTTCTGCAGAAAAATCTCTCATCTGCCGGATTACAGACAGTAATTATCCCCCGGTGTCCATTGTACTGTGTATAAACCACCTTCGGTTAGGCCTTTGCCATCCACCCAGTCAGAGCTCAACCTTGCGCATGTCAGATGTCATGCCGTCACTAGGTGGATACGTGGAACTCTAAGTCTGGTTTGGATACTCTTAATCAGGGTGATGGGTTTCCTCATGTCAGATGTCCGGCTGGCCTAAAGGAAATTAGATTACGGCTTGTAAGTCACTCCCGTGTTACTATTATACTGTATATAAACCACCTAAACTCTTTGATTAGATTACAGTCTGTAACTCACTCTCAAGTAGCTGTTCCTCTACATAAACCATCTGAGCCCCTTGATTAGATTTCGCTCAGTGCAATCCATTATACTGTATAGAGCCAGAAATTACAGCACAGAAGGGGGCCATTCAGCCCATTGATTCAACCACAAACACACACATTTTACACGCACACACTCATCACGCACAAACACACCACACACATCTCACACACACATACACATCACACACATCACATACAACCCACACACCCACATGGATCTAAATATGTTGAATCTAAGCATATCAAACCATATCAAATTCGCAGCCATTATTGTATCTTTCACCCTCGTTCCCCTGGAAGCTAACATTGGAAGATGCATCTCCATGAGGAAGGAACGACAGAGTGTGTTCTCACGGTCTTATTATTGATGCTTTTTATATTATTTACATGCTCATGTTTACCTAGCGGTGATAGGAACCTGGTTGTTAATTGATGGCGGATTGCTTTCGGGGATAGCAAGCGCTTTGAGACGTCTCGATGATGTGATCAGGCGCTGTATCAAATGCAAGGATTATTATCGTTATTATTATTTGAAGTGCGGGTTGTTGTAACCCAAGGATTTCCTCTCTGTTTCCCTCTCTCCCTCCAGGGGAAGCTCCCGGGTACATTCCAGGGGAGGACGCCTTGTCTCGTATCCGCCGGCTGATCGCCGAGGGCTGGATGACAGCCGTGGTGCAGCGGGAACAAGGCACCACCACCGCCTCCATGGGCGGCTTCGGCAACAACATCATCGTGAGCCACCGCATCCACCGGGGCTCGCAGACCGGCAGCGAGGCCCTGGCCAGGCTGGGCACTACACAACCCACACCGGGCGGCAGGGAGAGGAGAGAGACGGACAGCGGCCCCGCGCCGGAGCCCTCGCTCCAGCCCGGGGCCCGAGCGGGCGGCGAGAGGGAACAGCTCGGAGACGGAGGCGAGAGGTTTGGCGGGGAGCCCTCCGCCAGCGGGGCTCCCATAGACACGGAGAACCTTTACCACACCGTCAGCACACACAGCAGCCCCGATCCTGATGACTATTCTGATAATCATGGCACTGACGACAGGGGTTCAGACAGAAGGTAGAATTAGGTGGTCTGATGTCTGGGGCGAAATAAATAAATAAAAAAAATTGCATGTCCCATGGTTTGTATGTGTAGATTATAGCGAAAGCAGCCAAGGAAATTCCACTTCTTTGTTTTTAGTAGAATGTGATTTCAGTTGAGGGTTTTTTTTGTTTTTTTTTCGTTCTTTTATTTTATTTTATTTTTTTTTAGTAAACTGGTAACTGGGTTATTTTAGAGAAACGGAATTATAGTCAGTGAGTGGCGAGCCGCCGGTGGGGAAAAGGAAGTACTCTGTGAACACCAAAGATCACAATAAAGAAATAAAAAAAAACTCTTTAAAAAGTGGCGGGATTGAGCATCGGGAAATGTGATTTATTTGGAGCTCTGAAACGGGAGAGAACGGACGTGGGACACAGCAAAGCCCGTCCCCGCATAGTAATTGTCCCCAGCCTCCCCTTCTCCCCCCTCCCCGCCCACCCACCTGCCTGATCTTATAATAATAATCCTTGCATTTAATATAGCGCCTTAAGCGCACTCAGACGCAATCCTGCCTGAAGGGCGCTATATAAGTGCACATTGTTGTTATCACGTCGTCGAGACATCCCAAAGCGCTTCACAGACTATACTGTAAAGTGGAGTGACTGTGTATTTTGCAGGAAACACGGCAGCCAATTGCACACATCAGCCTCCCACAAACAGTCTTGGATTGAGTGAGGGCTTACCACCAATCGACTAACAACCGGGTTCCTACTTACTGCTAGGTAAAAAGAGGCATGTGGAGTAAGAAAACTTGCCTAAAATTTTTCTCTACGGTTCAAATAGGGTTTCGCTAAAGCAAAGTTCCAGGTCAGAAGGTAAGATCATCGTCAGATAGATATTGATTTTGGTTTGAAGGTAGAATTACCAATAGCAATATCCATTGGTCCATATCACCTTGAAATCTACATTCCTACGTTATTGCAGAGAGAAGAGACAGTCAAAGAGCACAGTATAATGCAATTTTATATTCATAATAACACCTTTTGTGGCTGGAGGACATCCCAAGGTGCTTAGAAAACATAAGCGAGACAGCAACAGAAACTATCCACTGACACTCAGCCCTATTTCTGGACTTCATACAGTTTCAATAATTATTTAAATCTAACTAAATAGGTTAATTTAACATGGTTCCTAAAGTGAATGAAATGTATGTAAAGCGCCTTGCAGGGAATTTCTATCAAGCGCGTCGACTGTGTGTGTGTGTGTACAGCAATGTCCCACAATCGGTGAAAAATAAATGATTGGTCTTATGTAGAGGATTGCCAGGCAGGAAACCCGAGTAGAGAAACTCCCTTCTCTTTTCCAATAGCGCCGCGGGATCTTTAACCTTCACCTGAACAGGCACAGACGGGGAGCTCGGTTTGATGTCCGATCGGAAGCACGGCGCCTCTGACAAGGCAGAACCCCTCCCAACCCCACCCCCTGGCGCTCTGCACTGGAGTGTCGGGCTAGAGGCTGCCCGGAGGCTGCTCAGGAGCCTGATGGAGGGGCTGAACTGCTTGAGAAAGGCAGGAAGCAGAACTTGCACATAATTGAAGTGAATATTTCAACTTGCCCAGTGTGGTTTGGCACTCATAATGTGAATTTAGCACCAGTCTGCGGTCTATCATTGCTGCGGCAGTCTGCACTGCTAAGTGTAAGAATAAGGATAAAGTGCAGAACTTGGCAGTTTATTCACGCGTCGGGCAGTTAAGCAGGAAATGAATAGCTCCATCCGATGGCTTTTGATACTAATCTTTTAATTAGGCATTCAATACAGTTCAGGCAGTCTAGTTCTCATTATATTCTCTCACTATTGGAGTCATTCATAATCTAGACAGAACAATAATACAGAATATTGATCGTCGCACTCTGGGCTCTTAAACTTCTGAGGAGCTCACAGCATAACAGTTACAGCTGGCCTTACATTGAGGCAGTATCTCTGCAAGATTGTCACAAGAGAGCTTTGGATGAAGAGGCATCCTTCAGCCCAATTGATCTTCTGAGATTGCTGCTGAAGACTTCTTTTCAACCTCTTTGTGGCAACCGTCAGCTCCCCTCTTTCTCTCTCTCTCTCCAGCACTCCCTTGTTCAGATTCTAATCTTGTTCGGATTCTTGTTCGGATTGTATTACCCTCTGGGCAAAGAAATATTTCTCGAAATTGTGCCTCAGAATTCGAATCTCGTAGAAACACAGCACTCCAGTTGTGGCTGGTTGCAGCACTGTATGCATGAGCAAAACAGTGCGGAAATATGTCTAAGGCTGGCAATTGCACAGGGTCTCTCAGTGCCTGACTATCAATTAATCTCTCGTTGCAACCCTCCCCGCCCCCTCCCTTCCAACTCATTGTGTTGAATGCATACTCTCATTCATTCCCGCTGTGTAATTACATATTCTTCACATGAGGAGACCTGCACAGCTTAATCTGCTCAAAACCAAACATGCAAACCTCTCATTATTACTCATTATTGAAAAGATGCTTAGAGTGTGCGAGGGGTCGGTTCCCTCAGACTCCTCAGTCGAAGAAGAAAATCTTGAGAAGGCCTTGAAGGAGGCAGGAGAGGGGGGCAAGGTGGAGGGGCTGCTGGATGGAACTTCAGCGGGTGGGGACAGAGAGGCTGAAGGCCCAACCTCCAATAAAACCCACTAAAATAACTGCCAAACTACAGGTCCCGAGTTCTGCGTAACTCGCTTTAATAAACCTAAGCTTCCAGCTCACAACAAACCTGGATTCCCAGGTGAATGGAGATTGATAAGTATCACTTGCGGTCAATAAAACGTGACCTATCCATCTCGCAGAACAAAGCCAGACAGTACCATCCAACTCTGCGCCATGTGCAAACTATGTGCAAACACGTGTGTACAGGAGAAATTGCAGCCGGTTTTTAATTTTCCAATTAACAACTCACTGGAAGGATCCCAGGTGATTGTATAGCCGAGCTTTTAATGAGAATAAGAATCATAATTCTGACACAATGATTTACTGTAAAGACCTTGAACGTCAAAACATCTCTGAGCGTTGCACAGGGAACTGCTGGCAACTACATATTAACCCCCAATTGCCCGAGAGTACAATGAGAGTCATTTTGGAGCTAATTTGGCCAAAGCAAATCTCACCACTCGCGAGAACATTTTGGTTTTGATGCCAGCATCTCTCATCTTACAGGAGTAAGCGGCAGGCTTCAGTCTCCTGTCTTGCGCAAATGTTGGACACAAGCATCCCAATTAGCTTAATTAATCATTAGCAGGGGAAGCTCATTAAGAGCCTGTGTATGTATCTGTCACGCCGTGAGTGGGCTATCTATTGAAGAGAGAGTTACACTAATAATAATAATCCTTACATTTGATATAGCACCTTATTACGTCTTCGAGATTCATAGATTCATAGAATGTTACGGCACAGAAGGAGGCCATTTGGCCCATCGAGTCTGTGCGGCTCTTTGATAGAGCAAGTCACCTTCACTAACCCCAATCACTAGCTTTCTCCCCATAACCCTGCAAACCCGTCTTCCCCAGATACCTATCCAGAATATACTATAAAGTGAATTGACTATATTTTGTGGGCGAAATGTGGCAGCCAGTTGCGCACAGCAGTGTCCCACAAACAGTCGTGGACCGAATGACCAAATTATTTTGATTTTGAAGGAAAAGCGATCCACCAAGCGACTAACAACCGGGTTCTGACTTACTGCTAGGTAAACGGAGGCGTATGGAGTAAGGAAAGTTGCCCAGCGTTTCGCCCTGCCCCGGAATCAAACCCAGGTCCTCTCACGATGTCTGCTCATAGGGTTTGTGAACAACATAATCACATTACATCATAGACCACTGAGCCTGGTTCCTGATCTAGATGGGTGAGTAATATTCCAGGGCACTGATGTCGACAGCACAGCCTGGCTCATCGGCAAGACCTGGAAGGGCAGAATCCTTCCACTCAGCTCCTGTTAACCTTGCAAACCAAAGCCCTAACGGTTAAGGTAGGACCTAGCTGGAAAACCAGCGGAAAGCTTACCAGGCAGCGATATCAATGGCAAGCTATGTGATTTTAGCTGGTTAGACTCCATCGCACACTCCCCAAGCCTTGGCTCTTGCCAACCTGAGCCTAATTCTCTCCAGAATTGTGTAAGCAGGATGCGTCCTTCCAGGGGGAGAGAGAGAGTGCGCACATTCCATTCCAACAATCTATCTCTAGGATATCCGTGTGTAAATCATGGAAAGACGTGGAATCATGTGTGAGACCTGGAATTCTCAGTTTGGTTTGGATACTCTCTTAAGCACGGTGATGGGTTTCCACACGTGTCAGACACCCGACTGACAGTGCCTGTCACTGAGCAGCTCAGCGCTGTGACACTGGATCAGAGACGAAGATCTTGCAGGTTGTTTTTTTTCTTAAATGAGCTCGATCGCACGGCAATATCCTGAAGCACTTCACCGCAGTGACACACCCAGAAACGGCAAACGGCGAAGCGAATGAGCAATCTGGGCGGACAGAGGTTTTCGTGCTGCTCGTAACAACAGATGTCTTTTTTTTAACCGGAGGGAGTGATAGGCAGTGTGAGGGTGTCCACCTGAGCAGAAAATCACCCAATTACAGCAACAATTACTGAAGGCTGCGGAGTAAAAAGGAAAGGAGTGATTTTTGTCTCACTTTTGAGAACAGTGGGTGTCAACAACAGCGCGTTTGAAAGGGAGTTAATGCCTCTCGGCTATTAGAAAAGCAACTCCAGTCACTAATCTGCCTTGTACAGATTCTCGTTAACTTGCAGGTCTGTGAACATTCAGGAGCTGGTCCTATTACGTCAGCGATTGAAGGCAAAGTGACTTCCTCACCTTTATTGTACGGTTGGGAAGACATACTGAGTGATGGCTTCAGGGGATCGTACTCTCACTCACAAGGTTTTGATTCACGTTTGGGTTTACAGTTACAGGCTAACACTAATAATAATCCTTGCATTTGATACAGCGCCTTATCACGTCTTCGAGACGTCTCAAAGCGCTTCACAGAATATACTGTAAAGTGAATTGACTGTATATTTTGTGGGCAAGACACTGCAGCCAA